CTGCTACTTCTCCTCCTACTGCTACTCCTCCTCCTCCTGCTACTCCTGCCAACCCCCACCACTGCTGCCCCCCCACTACTGCTTCTACTCCTCCTACTGCTACTCCTCCTCCTACTGCTACTCCTCCTCCTGCTACTCCTGCCAACCCCCACCACTGCTGCCCCCCCACTACTGCTGCTACTCCTCCTCCTGCTACTCCTGCCGACCCCCACCACTGCTGCCCCCCCACTACTGCTACTCCTCCTCCTAATGCTGCTGCTACTCCTGCTACTCCTGCCAACCCCCACCACTGCTGCCCCCCCACTACTGCTGCTACTCTTCCTACTGCTACTTCTCCTCCTACTGCTACTCCTCCTCCTCCTGCTACTCCTGCCAACCCCCACCACTGCCACCCCCCCACTACTGCTGCTAGTCCTCCTCCTGCTACTCCTGCCACCCCCATCACTGCCGCCCCCCCACCACTGCTACTCCGCCTGCTGCTATCACTTTTACCAGTCCTACCACCTCCCACTCTCACCACCTCCTGCCCCAATTTCTACTCCTACCACTGATGCTGTGCGTCTGCTAGCAGCTCCTCCCACTGCCCCTCCTCCTCCCGCTGCTTCAACTACGACTTTCCTACCACTGCAGCTGACCCTTGAACGACTCAGGTTGGGAGAGTGTGGGTCTGCTTACACATGGGCTTTTTTCAATAAACGCAGTACGTACCGTGTATTTTCTGCTCTGACATGTTCTTGTCCGGAGGTGACTTGATTGTTGGAATATGGTAGACAGGACATACACAAGGTCTAGATCACCTGTTGATGTTATTGGTGAGGCTTCTGGTCAACAGGCTGGGCTATGAGTAGTTAAATTTGGGGCAAGTCAGAAGTTCTACACAGATTTGCAACGCTGGGGGGTTGGTACCCTACCCTCTGTGTTGTTTGGGGCCAGTGGTACTGCGTTCACTACTCCATCAACGCCGTGACTGTTTCTACCAGCACTTCTGCTCCTGCATTGCTTTACCCTGACGGCGACTTCTGTCCTCCGCCATCTGCTCTCCCCGGAGTATCCCTCCCCACGTTCGGGCTCCCTCCAGGAAGCCTCTGCTGCCCAGCCCTGGCCCCATGGGTGAGTGACCTCGCTTGGCCATGCTTCCCGGCTCTGGCACAGCTCTGTGATCTTGGAGGTGTTTATGTATTTGTGTCTCTCAGCTAGATTTTCATTTCGAGGGTGAGGCCGTGTACTCAGTGCTGTCGTTCCCCTTTTTACCTTAATGTCACGTGGCTGCTAAGGGGCAGACCGAGAGACTCAACAGTGGGGCTCAGTCTGGAGCCTGGTCTCTGACTCTCCTCGGAACACAAAAGCAGGGGGATGACAGACTTGGTTATTTCGGCCAAAATGGAATGGAGAGCCACCATCCCTGCCACATCTGTCACACTGGGCTCAGCTGCCTTGTAGGCGAACCTTTTGGCCATTGGTCTCAGCTGGTAGATTGGAGTTTGGTGGATTCTCAGAGGGCTCACCTTTTCTGGACCTGTATTTTCAGGCTCCTGCGTTTGTATTTAGGGTCCAGGAGCGGTTGGTTCTAGGGTATTTGAAGGGAAATCGTTTGGTGGTATCATCAGTGCTTCTTGCATCCTACATGAACTTGAGCCCTTTGACAGTCCACGCGTCGGCTTGTGTCTGGGGCCAAGTGTCCAAACTCCTTGTCCCTTCCACTGTTGAAGGTTGCTTGGCCTTGGAGCACTGACCAGGATGGCCACCTGGGGGCACTGTGGTTCCGTTGGTCTCTCCAGGAGCCCAGGCTCCAGGACGGCTGGGTACCAGTGGACAGGAGGCAGGTGCTGTTATCCCCTTCCTACAGACGGGAAGCAAGCTGAGTGCTGGAGCTGGGACTTAAAGCCATCAGGCTTCAGAGACCAAGCTGACGACCCCGTCCTCTGTGAAGACAACGGGCAGCTGACCACCCGCCCCACAGTTTTCTGGAGTGTAGAGCTGTGGCTAAGTGTGGGCTCCGGAGTCAGAAGCCGAGTTTGGAGCCCAAGTCACTAGCTCTCTATGACCGTGTCAGTGTCTCGGTTTCCGCATCTGAAACCCTGACCAGCTGGTGCCTGCTTCATAGGGTTGCTAGGGGTTAAGTGAGCGAACACATGCGGAGAGCACACAGTGTTGGCTGCGGTCTTCCCTGCCTCTGTTGGCACTGGCATCCAGTGACACTCTAGGGGGCACGGTGGCCCCTGGCACTCGACACCTGCCTGTGTTACAAAGACGAAGGCTCTGGAACCTGGGCCAGTGAGGGAGGTGGCAGGGGACGGATGGCTAGGACCACGGGATGGGTTCTGAGCGGTGCAGGTGTGCAGGAGGGGGCGTGCTGCTATTCAGCATATCAGGTAGGTCTGGGGAGAGGTGACGATTCACCAGGTGGAGCAAGTGCAGAGGAGCAGAGGAGGGGTGGCTGGGGAAGCAGGGGATGCTGCAGCGCCCCTGCCTGGCTGCAGGAGGAGAGCCGGGCAGGGAGAACGGACCGTGTGGATGGTGGGGGGCAAGAAGATTGGAGAACTGCCCAGCAGATTGTATTTAGGGGAAGAGGTTGCCAGTCTCAACCAGCAGTGTGAAGTCGAAGATCTCACCTGAAGCTTTTCAGCAGCAGGAACAGGTCTTTAATATTTAAAAAATTTTTTTTTTTTAAAGATTTTATTTATTTATTTATTTGACAGAGAGACAGCGAGAGAGGGAACACAAGCAGGGGGAGTGGGAGAGGGAGAAACAGGCTCCCCGCCAAGCAGGGAGCCCGACACGGGGCTCGATCCCAGGACCCTGAGATCATGACCCGAGCTGAAGGCAGACGCTTAAAGACTGAGCCATCCAGGTGCCCCAACATTTTTTAAATTTCTTATTATGAAACATTGGTTCAAA